GGGTCACAGCTTTGGAGGGGTTAAATAGTCTAGTCTTCCCAAGAGGGCTGCTGATAATGGGGCACTAAACTCCTACAGAATTCCCTAATCACACTTCTTGAAGTGGGCATGCAAGAATGGTAGGGGCTACAACTCCTTACCAGTCCCCTAAGCCTTAATGGGGGCTAGTTGAGGGAAGCACACAGATACTCCCCAACCCTTGATGGGGCTGATCAAAGTAGGTACATGCATTTCTATGCATTACTCTAATCCCAAAATGAGTTCCCCCATTACTGACCAGGGCCCACTTGATTAATAGGGTAACAGACAAAGAAGGCATCTTGCCAACATTAAGCTCACAGGTTAACTTTAGCAATTATGTCATGACCTAGCACAGTGTAGGCAGTACCTCCCTCTATCTCATGGCACGAGCATGGTGGAGGTGTTTACAAACCATGACCATGAGAAATATTATCCAGCACCTGGAAACTAGAGATTGATATGGCCATGGAGCCTGGGAACTAAACTATTAGAAAGAATAACAAAAATCTTCCTTATACACACTGAAATCCACCTTATACACAGAGACGATCTGCTACTGTTAGGTGTTTTTGACCCAACTACTCTGACCTTAAGAAGATGATGGAGGCAGTGGGGTGGTAAATATGGGTAAATGGCCTACAGAAAGGGGTACTATGAAGGCCAGATGCTGGGAGTACAACCCAGGGCCAGGTGAGAGTTCAAACATTATTCAGGCCTGGAAATGGACCACGAAAGGCAAAGGACATTGGCCTGGAAGACTGCCACAGAAAGGAAGCATACCATTCTTATGCTGGCCCACTGGACAAAGTTCCATTTGCTTCACTCTAGTTACCGCTATGCCTCTGGAGCCCTAGAAGTCTTTTCAATCCAACTACTATACCCTTTGATAGCCATCGTTCTTTGGTTATTCCCACAGAGATTACAAGTGACAATGACTTTTGCTTGATCAGTAGTGAATGGCTCCACACATTTTGTAGAGAATGATAACTTCTAAACTAATTTCTGCTATTTATTTCATGAGCTTATGCCAATTTTATTTATCCTATATGTGTATGTCTTACTTTTTTGAACCATGTCCACAAAAAAAAAGAAAAGAAAAAAAAGTTCCAAATGAGTCCATGAAAAAAATATTGACACTTTTGTTTGAGGGAAAAAGATTTGAATATTCATAGATCACATTTTTTAAAATCAGGTTCTAATGAATGAAATAGCATTTATTAAATGCCATTCATGTGCTTAAATACTGTGCCAAGCACTGGGCACACAGACAGAAAAATTGAGACAGTCTCTATTCTCAAAAAATTGTCAGATTGGAGAAGAAAACCATACAGAGCATTCCAAAAGTCTTAAAGTTTAGACTGCACTAAGACTTTTGGGACATTTTGTATATCAGATGCAGGGTCAATGACAAAGTACATTGGCAGGTCAGATAACACTTCCGATAGATTTATTTGGAAACATAGCTGCAAGGCAGATGGTATGACTAGAAACCTTAGGACACAGCAGTAGCAGGGCAGATGGTAAGGTCTAGTGGGCCTCCTTACTGGAAGGATTGTAGTTGATGACCCCCAGATAATCCAAATATTGTAAGCAGCCATATCTACTCTGCAAGAGGCTGAGGTCCAGAGGGGTCCTACCCTCTATCATTATAGCGAAATACTAAGGAACATGAGTTCTGGGTTTTCCTCTGAACGGGCAAGGATGAGAGTTAATTGTCCAGCCAGAAGAGGGGATTGGGTAATGGCAGGAAGAAGAAAAGATCTCATCACCTATTCAGGACATGGGATCAGGATGGGAAAGGGAAAGGGAAATGGCTTCTCCTTGTCCCCTCTTCTCACCTGGCTTCCCCATGGTGGTCTGAGTGTCTAATATGGGCTATGTGAGAGGCAGACAAGGATAAAAAATAAAGACATTGCCTTTCTTGGTTATTTGGTTGAAAAGTTATTGTTTACTGATTAATTTACTTCAAATTCGTAAGCCTAATTGTTTTTGATGCTTTTGCTTAAGATCAGTAGTTTCCAAGATTTTAACTATTAATTTGTTTACTGTAAAATAAATTGTTCAGTAATTACATTTATGTACAGGTCATATGAAAATTCCAAATTGTCCCAGATAGTATCAGTTCACTAAGTACTTACTATGTGCCATACATAGTAAACATTTTTTAAACTAAAATATTAAATTTCTTTAGCATGGTGCCTTTCACATAATCCACACTCAGTGAATATTTGTTCAATGTATTTGAACACATTTTGGTCTTTAATTCTTTTAATTCTCTTTTAATACATGCAGATCTTCTCTGAGGCTGTTCTTAAAAATCTTTGTCATTTTTCTTCACATTCTTTTATTTCCCCTAATTCTTTAATTTTTTTTTCTAGTAGAATGCTAGGATAAGCATGTGTTTTTACAGTTTCATCTAGTGCTGCCTTACTAGTCCTTCTTACAGTGCTGAAACTAGTGTGACTCTATCTTCTTATTCATTATTGATGGAGAACAGTATTCAGTTTACTTTTATAAACCCCAGGCAGACTTTCCACTAATGGCTTAACAAGCGTTTTTGTTGATCTCATGATCCATATAATTTGGCATAGTTCAGTAGCATAGAATGCTTCATATTTCAAGCTGTCTTCATTGCTTTATAGCTCTCTGAATTGTTTAACCATCCTTATTCTATGACCTTTTCGTTGAGAACTCCTCAAAAATCAGTCATGCCTGGTTGCACAGTTTCCTCCCCACAAGTTGACATGAAGGACAGTGGCAGTTTCCAAAGACCTGATGATGTCAACACTATGGGGACTGTTCCCTGGTATCTGATTTGTGTTTTTATTTCACCATCAGCACTATTTATTTTGTAGCTAGTTACAAGAGGTACAGTGGGTATCTAGGAAAGCAACATGTCCTTGTATATCATTATCTCCATAACAGTATGCAGATTTTGGCGATGTCTAGAACTCAAGGAGAGACAGCCAGCCACTCCAGGCCCAGCTTACATTGCCCTCCCTTGTTAAACCACTCAATGTGTAGGTTCCACTTATGTTCCCTGTTTTCCAAACAATTTCCACACGTACTACACAAAATGTCTAACATGGGTTTAACTCCTGCTCCATTCTCCAAGACTTCTATAGTACCCTCAGGAGTTTGAGGATTCTTTCTTCTCTACCATCAGCTCAAGCCCCCCTCCAATTGTGTTCCCCTAATTTTAAGAGGTTCAGTGCCTCACACCTTTTTCCATTTAACCATCAGATTACCTTTTATGACCAGATTTTCGATTCAAAGATATAGCAACAACAAACATACCAAGTTTCCCCTCAACACTAGGAACATGATTCTGCTCCCCCCCCCCACTACCTTAAGCCTCTGGAGAGGGGATTCAGTTTACAGATTAGTTTACTTCCTACATAGTATTTTTGCTATCAAGTTCAAGTTCAAAACTGAGCCTAACCTCCCACATTCCCAAGTTTTGAGCTCCAGAATCAGAGACCTCACTCTCCAACTTTAGAAAAGGTTCCAGTCCTGATTCTGGCAGTCACTTAGCCCAAGGAGTGAGGAGGGAAAGCAGGTGATCCTTAGACCCTCTACCCCTTACCACATGGTGTGAGTGGAGTTCACCCTCAGACAAGAATGCAGGAAAAACTACTTGAGTTGCTAAGTCATTAGTCATAGTTGCTAAGTTGCTAAGTCATAAAGTGTCTGCTTCTTTGTCCAATGGAAAAGGTTGCTCCCAACCAAATGGGCCGATAAAGAACTTGTCCATGCGTGCTGCAGTCCTCCAGCCTTCCAGAAGCAGGACCTCAGAGTTTTTTCTATGTGGATGACACCATTTTAGGTAACCTGAGCCTGCCAAACCTTTTTCTTGACTGACCTTTAATACCTGCTATCCGTGTGACCTTGGGCAAGTCTTTTAACATCCTTGAGCTTAAATGAACAGAACATAAATGGACAAAACAAGAGTTTCGCAGGTTGAGCAGGCAGGAATAGCTTTTAATTTGCCTTATTGCGAGTGACTCCCAAATCAGTGCAGCCAAGGAGCCATTTGAACTTTGAACTACATGCAAAGCATTGTGTTAGGTATTAAGGGATACAAAGAAGAAAGAAAGTTAGTTTGGCTTGCTCTCAAAGTACTTACAATGTAGTGTTTACAATCAAATAGTTTTTATAATTGGATAGTGAAAGAGTCTAGTAAGGTAACAATCTAATGGCGAATAAGGTGAAGTCTACCTATAAACAGTACCCTTGACTCATTAAGAATAAAGATAAATTTTGCAAGCTGTTATAGGAGTGTTCAGATTTTTTTTTAAAAGTGATATTCTGTATCTAATCATGACTAGTGCTTGTCTCCTAAGGCTAATAGGACTAGTCTAATGCAGCTAGAGATTTACGGTTATTCATTTGGTGCCTATGAAAGGTTTATACTGGATTTGAAATAATTGATTGTATTTCCTATTATGTCTGACCTACTCCAGAAGCTAATACATGAGCTTCATGACAAGTAAGTCATTTCATTTGGGTTCGAGGACAGAATAATCTCTCCAGACCTTTTTACTACTGGAGTTCAGAAATGGAAATCTAAAAGACTTCTACTTCGACCTTTAGGCTTCACAGGAGCTCCAGCCAAGGAAGCTTGGCAACCCTTATTTAACATGACACGTTCTAATTTCCCCTTTCTCAAAGACTTAACTTGCTCCAGTTATCTGCCAACAGGAACATCGCGATTTAGGTCACAAATCATTTTGTGGGGGAAAATATTTTTAAGTAAAGCTCCAGCATATCCCTGCAAGAAATGCTATGATTCATTCCTAACTACAATACCTCCAATTCCCAGCTACTTGAAAGCGCAGATCATTATCTCTGGGCTACAGAGCAATTAACACACTGGGGCAGGCATGCCACACCCCCATGTCCAAACAGGAGGCCGGCACGTTTCCAAACTGGAGCGCCAGCTCCGCCCGCTGCGCCCACCTCCTGTGCGTAACCCGGATACACACCCACTCCTCCCCTTTCACCTCTTTCTGCTGTTGGCTAACGTGAAAGGGAAAGACCGCCGGGCGGTGGGAACAAGACCCAGCTGCACCTCCTTTCTCCTCTCCCGGCGTGTTGCTGAGACCTGGGATGGGAACCGGAGGCCAGAGAGGCCGCAGTGGCTGCAGACGCGGTTAGCTAGCTGTTCAGCTTGGAGTTAGGGAAAGGAAGGAACTGCCTTTATTGTGCCTGGGAGAACAGATAGCTCGGGGTAGGGAAGGAGAAAGGGGTCCCCCTCTAGTTCCATGTGGGCCCCTGCTCCTGGGGAGCTGTAGCAGCTCGGGTCGGGGAGCATTGCGGGGCGCGATGGAACGTTGCTGATTGTCTCCGCGTTCCAAGCGTCCCGGGCGGGATTGTTTCCGATCCGGCTGCGTTAGGGAGGCAGCTGGGGACCGGCCGCCTTCCCCGGGTCCAGCCATGGCCCCCATGGGCATTCGCCTTTCTCCGCTTGGCGTGGCCGTCTTCTGTCTGCTAGGGCTGGGCGTGCTCTACCACCTCTACTCTGGCTTCTTGGCTGGCCGCTTCGCCCTCTTCGTCTTGGGGGGAGACCGAGGAGGCGGTCCCGACTCGCCAGGCTCTCAGGCCGATGGGGGCACGGTGGACCTCCGCGAGTTACTGGCCGTGTCCGTTCTGGCCGCCGTTAGGGGAGGGGAGGAGGTGAAGAGGGTCCGCGAGAGCAATGCTCTCAACGAGAAGGCCAAAGGGAAAACCCGGGAAGGAGCCGAGGAGAAGATGACCAGTGGGGATGTGTTGTCCAACCGCAAAATGTTCTACCTTCTGAAAACCGCCTTCCCCAATGTGCAGGTGAGTGACCTAGCAGTACCAGGTGTGGGGGCAGCAGCCGGCTGGACTGGCTTCCCCCTCCACCCCCCCCCTTTTTTTTAAATGGGTAAATCTGGAATGCCAGATTACTTGCTTGTATTTTGACTGGAGTAAAAACAGGATAACCTTAGAACACACGTTAGCCGAATGTCTTGGTAAAAGCTCTGAAATTGGAGGAATTCATTTTCAAACCCCATGCCCTGGGGGTACTGTAAAGGCATTATCATGTCTTGTCATCTCCAGCCAAAGGTTAGTACCCTTTGCTGAATAGTTTTAGACTCCTCTGAGATCTGTTGATTGATACAATTGAGTTATGTTAATCCGTCACCTTACCTCTCAATCCTTTTTTAACCATGGTAGAAAATATTATAAAGTTTCTGGAGGGAAGTAATTGACCTTGGGAGTGTATCTTATCATGGTCCCATTTCTGAAATCACATTTTTCTTTCATCTGTTTCTCCCCTCACACTTACAGCACATGATAATGTTCCATATTTACCCTCTACCCCCATGTTTATTCATAGCATGAGCATCAGAGAGGAGCAAACTATTTATCCAGAATAGAGGACGCTCCCGGCCCCCCGCCCCCGGGCACCCAGATAGGTGTATGGATCAACGGCTTAATTTTATCATTAACTACATTTTTGGGATAATTTAGAATTACAAAGTCTTTTACTTGGATGATATTGTTTGAGTACTCTGTAATGTGGTGCCAGTTTTATTATCCCCATTTTAAGTATGAGAACAGTGAGCCACGTAGAGGTTAAGTGATTTGTTCAGCCTGCTGGTAGGAGGAATCCGAGATACTCTTCCTCCAAGTCTAGTGCTGTTTTCAGTGGTTTCCATCGATCTCTTAGTGCTGTAGGGTTAGTCATTTTTAGTAAATGTGGCTACATTGCATAAGTATTTTTTATTAGTTTTTGCATTACTACAGCAAGAACTCAAGGTAATTACTATAGCACTTTCTTTTGGAGGGTTTATGACCTGAGATTTATTAACAATCCTTGGCATCTTTATTGTATTTTGAGATTTACTAAAGTACTTTCTACACCACAGCCCAATGAAGTTAAAGTTGTGCAGATATTTTGCCCATTTTACAGAAGAGTTTGGGCCTCTGAGAGGTGATAGTACTTTTCAGTGGTCACACAGCTCTAAGTGCCTGAGGCAGGATTTACACCCAGGTCTGCTGACTGTAGCTAAGTTTAGCACCAATTGAAAATTATTTTCAGAGGAATTTAATAACTGAATGAAAAATAGATTGCAAATGAACCTTCAGATTGTTAAAATGTGTCTGATACTCATGATATCCTGAAAGGAACACTGGATTTTGAGAAAGAAGATTTGGATTAAAATTCATTACCTTTGTGATTTTTTGGTAAAATCACTTGACTTGACCCCGGACTCATGTTCCTCATTTGTAAAATAAAGGAGTCTGCTAGAAAGATCTCTGAAGTGCCTTCCACCCCTAGGCCCTGTGATTTACAATCCAAGGACACAGGTTCTACAGTTTATTCTTAAGTGGTTACCCTAAGTGAAGAATTTAAAGTCTCAGATTTCAGCTTTCTTCTCTGTAAAATGGGACTTAATTTAAAATAGAAATCATACTTGACTACCGACTTGTAGGGGCTGTTGTGAGCTATTTTTATTTTGTAGCTCTTTTTCCTCCTTCCCTCTGCAAAAAAGTTTATATCAACAAGCTGTTATTACCATGTGGAACGCCAGTGTCTAAGTGCAGTAGATGACAGGTTGCTCATAGGATAACTATTGCACTACATTTATTAATAGCCCTATGAGATAGGAAAAGGTAAATATTATCATAATTTTGCAGATGAAGAAACAGAAGATGATAGAGGTTATATGATTTACTCACGGGCATAAAGCTATTAGGGCAAAGCAAGGACTTGTATAGAAATTCTTGAAGCTTTCTGACTGTTACGTTGTTGCTCTCTTTACTAGTCTCTTACCTTTTTTTGAATACTGAATTTCTTCTTCCTATAACTTTACACCGTGGCATCTACCTCACAGGTGGCGCTTACAGGCAATGAGGCAACTAGGTAGTGCAGTGGATAGAACATTAGGCCTGGAGTCAGGAAGACCCGAGTTCAAATTTGACCTCAGATATTTTCTAGCTGTGTGACCCTGGGCTAGTCCCTTAAGCTGTTTGCCTCAGTCTCCTCAACTGTATAATGGGAATAAAACACCTACCTTGCTACCTTGTTATGAAGATCAAAAGAGAAAATCTTTGTAAAGTGCTTAGCTCAGTGTCTAGCACGAAGCAGGAGCTATAGAAATGCTAATGATTTTTGTTTTTGTTGTTGCCTGAATGCCTGCAAAGCACTTTGCAGACTTTTAAAGTAAACTGTGTGACTGGCAGGTGTGACTTGAACCAAGAATTGCCAACAAACATTATAAAGGTCTCTCTTAAAGAAGCTTCCTTTAGTCAGTTTTGTGGTTTGCCAAATCACTGATCTTGTATTTAGATGAGGTGTTTTGGGTAAGACTGAGTGTTGGCTGCCTGCGTCAAAACACCCATAAAAACTGCTGCCCTCAGAAGTTTGTGTTTGTGATGCATTTGGAATTCTAGTAAAATTTACAGAGGTCAAAGTAATGTGCCATTCTGCTCCAGCATTTCTTTGTTCATATTTTTATATCTTTAAGTATAGCTGGGTAGCACGGTAGTTAGAGCTCTAGGCCTGGAGTCAGGTAGACCCCTAATTCAAATCTGGCCTTGGACACTTAATTCATCTGTGACCTTGAGCAGTAATAATTAATAATAATAATAATGATAGCAGCTAAGCAAATCACAACCTGTAGCTGCCTTAGTTTCCTCAGAATGGGGATATTATGTAATAGCTACTTCTCGGTATTGGTGTGAGGATCAAATAAGATAAGATTTGTAAAGTGCTTAGCACAGTGCCTGGAACATAGTAGGCCCTTGATGTCTCCCCCCCTTCCCACCTTCCCCCCACCCACACTTAAGGATACTAATGAAAACAGGTACACTATTAAAATCGAGAAAAAATATTAAATTTTGGAAACTTGAAAACGACTGTGAATTTCAAGGACAACCAAAGTGACATTTAAGATAATGGGAAATACTGTTACTAAAATCTTTCAAAAAGAATAAGTGTCCCCCCCCCCTTAAATTATTTCCATAACCATTTTGTTCTTTGGGTGACTTCCACAGGCTGCTACATTTGTTTTCTCGATTACTAGGGAATGCTAAGGCATTATTAGTTGCCAAGGATAATGATCTGCATTTATTCAAGCACGAACACTGAGCTTTTAAAATTGCAGAAACTGGACTCTCCTGGTTTGAGCACAAAATAACTTTTTTGTTCTCTTATGAATATATGAATGTGTGCAACTAAAATGTTTACATTGGATGGGGGTTGGCACACCAGAGAAGGTAATGTTCATTTACACAGTCATAATAGGGTTTGTGTCTTGTTGAGATATCTCCCTTCTTTTCTGCTTTTTTAGAATAGAGACCAAATGTTTCAGCCCTCAAAGAAATAGAACTCCTCCTTCTCTTTCGCTCTCATCTCCCCAACAGAATCCCAGCCTTAGGAGTAATAGGAGTTTGAGGTACCCCACTTAGAACTTTGTGGAATGGGGTCCTCCCCTAACCCATCTTCCCTGGAGGAAATCAGGACTGGGAGGCTTCAAATTCTTTTCCTTGATCCCTTCCCTTCCCTGATAGAGGGAGTAGCCACTGCACCATTCCCTACTCCCTCCCCAAAGAGACCCCCTCCCCCCACCCACATACCCCAAATACCTAATTAGAGCCTGAGGCTTGGTCTAAGCCCTCTGGCGTTCATTCCTCCCACTCTAGAAAATTTCCTCCCCAAGTTATCAGTCCTGTTTTAGTTCTCAGTACCTGGAGACAGGTACCCTTGACAACCAGAGTTAGGCTGTGGTCAGGAGACCTAGTTTCAAATGATACCTCAGACATTTACTAATGTGCTCATCTCAGCCTCATTGGTAAAATGGGGATATGATAACATCCCCCTATGTTGTTTTGAAGATCAAACTAGATGCCCCATTTAAAAAAGCACTTTGCAAACCTTAAGGGACCTTGCAAATATTAATTGTTATTGTTGTTGTCATTTCTTTTCAAAGAATAATTTATTTACAAGCATTTATTAAGTATTATGCTCCCAAGCACTGTTCTTCACACTGGGGAACACAAAGACAATGAAAATATAGTCCTTGACTTCAAAGAGCTTACATTCTGTTTTTGGGAAACAAGATATACAAAGATAGATAAATACAAAATATATACAAAGTAATTAGGAGCTGTAGCATCTGGTGGTTGGGGGAAGGGGGCACCAGATAGGCTTTGTAAAAGAGAAGTGCTAATTGAATTGCAGTTTGAAAGAAAAGGTGGAAGTGAGGAGGCAGTGTATTCCAAGTGCTAGGAGCAGCCTGTACAGAATGATGCAGTAGGCCGATGATGAAAATAGAACTAAAAAATGAGGGGCCCTGGGCCTTAGACCAAGGTCTCTGTCCATTTTCTCCTGTGAACTCCTTGCGTCCCCTCTCTCTCCTTCTCCTTGTGCCTCTTGAGCAGTGGTATCAAACTCAAATACAAACAGGGTTGGTGAAAACTGTATATAAGGATTCCCGTGGGCCACATATTTCTTAGAAAACCGTATTGATATCATCTATGTTTAATTGTGTTTTTATTTATTTTATTAAATGCTTCCCAGTTACATTTTAATCAGGTTTGGGCTACGCTTCAGTGTTATGGGCCACCATGCAGCCTGCTGGCCATGTCTTTGACCTCTTCTGTAGACCAAAAATTCTTAACCTTGGGTTCGTGAACGTTTTTTCCCCCCATAATTTGTGAGTAACTGCATTTCGATGTAATTGATTTTTTTCTTTCTTTTTTTCTTTTCTTTTTTTTGGTAATCCTATGTATTTAAAAACTGAGATGGAATCCATAGGTTTTGCCTGACTGCTAGAGGGGTACGTGACATA